ACAGCACCTACTTTATGAAGTTGTTGTGAAGTGCACATGAGTGAAACACTTAGAATCATGTCCAGCATACAGTCGGTAATCATTAAGTGTTAACTTTTATTAGTATGTGTATTTTGTCCGTTCCATCAGACAAGATGCTCCCTAGGGCAAGCCCATCAGATTGGGGGTTCCCTGAGGGCAGGACCGTGTCTTTCCCCTGGGAAGCAAGCTCTCTTTCTTCCTATCTATTCTCTACAGAGCCCAGCCTGAGCCCAGCAGGGGTTTGGAATTGTACAAACAGTAAGCCAATGAGGATGTGGGATGGAAGAGGCTGCGAGAGAGTGGGGATTTTCTTCATCCATACGTCTATCAGGAGGAGCATCTTCCCAGTCCTCAGGGTGCCCAGGAGGCAGGGACAGACAAGGATGCTGTGCAGGAGAAGGTTTCATTTTCCGGTAGAGCCCTGGGCTTGGAAAGATGGCAGGGAGGGAGGGCCAGGTTTCTGCCTTTGGAAGGCTCCTAGTTGGAGCTCCCAGTCCGTAAGGAGGTAGCAGTCAGGTGGAGAAAACTGATAAACGGCACCTGCACCTGCACCCTTCTCCTTCGGTTCTAGAGCCCTTTCTTGTCCATTAGCTGATTGTTTTTCCTAACCATCCTGTGGGGGTAAACTCAATTGTATATTCATATACACACACAGTTTTGAAGGATACTTCAAAAGTTCATGGAAGGGCTAGTTGGTTAGCTCAGTTGGTTAGATCGTAGTGCTGATAACACCAAGGTCCAGGTTTCAATCTCTGTACCTGCAAGCTGTGCAAAAAAAAAAAAAGGAAAAATGGAATTAAAAGGTAATATGAATATTTGTATATATATTTAGCAAAGCATGAAATAATGATCCTCCAAAATGTTAAGTGGCAGATCCAAGGTCACAGCTCTTAAGTGGCTGTGCAGGAACTTGAACCNGTTTCATTTTCCGGTAGAGCCCTGGGCTTGGAAAGATGGCAGGGAGGGAGGGCCAGGTTTCTGCCTTTGGAAGGCTCCTAGTTGGAGCTCCCAGTCCGTAAGGAGGTAGCAGTCAGGTGGAGAAAACTGATAAACGGCACCTGCACCTGCACCCTTCTCCTTCGGTTCTAGAGCCCTTTCTTGTCCATTAGCTGATTGTTTTTCCTAACCATCCTGTGGGGGTAAACTCAATTGTATATTCATATACACACACAGTTTTGAAGGATACTTCAAAAGTTCATGGAAGGGCTAGTTGGTTAGCTCAGTTGGTTAGATCGTAGTGCTGATAACACCAAGGTCCAGGTTTCAATCTCTGTACCTGCAAGCTGTGCAAAAAAAAAAAAAGGAAAAATGGAATTAAAAGGTAATATGAATATTTGTATATATATTTAGCAAAGCATGAAATAATGATCCTCCAAAATGTTAAGTGGCAGATCCAAGGTCACAGCTCTTAAGTGGCTGTGCAGGAACTTGAACTTCAGTCCTCTGACTCCAAATCCCATGTCCTTTATGTATGTGCAGCCTCTCCCAGATACTCACAGGTACGGGGGTGGGAGTGGAGAGGGGACACACTAAACCCAGTCTTCCAAGAGCCTCCAGTTCAGTGGGGGAGACAGGTCGTGCCACTAGGGGATCTCCAGCCATGTGGAGAAGTTACAGTTTCCAGCAGGGGAGGAATAAAGGGGAGCAAACACTTGGCACCTACTATGAGCTGGGCACTTTGCACAGGTCTGTCTGTCTCTTTCTTTCTTACTGCAAAGTCCTGTTCTCCAGATAAGGCCTGAAGCTCAGAGACCTCAAGTGACTTTTTTCAGGTTCCCTAGTGAGTCCAATGACAAAGCTGGAATTAGAATCCAGGTCAGCCTGGATGCTAACACTGTGCTTTTTCCTCTAGCATGGAAGACCACTGGCTCAAGGGTCACCTCCTCAATGCCCTGGATGTAGAACTGGCCACCTGTGCCTTTGAGTCCCCTTAGCTCCCCAGGGCATCTGCGCACCTCTTAAACTTATTTCATTTCCATACCTGTCTGTCTCCCCTCACTAGGTAGTGGGCTCCTTGAGGACAGAGAGTGGTCTTGGCCATCTCTGTATCCCCAGTACATAACACAAAGCTGGCACATAACAGATGTTCAGTAAACATGTATTGCATGAATGGTGGGGAGGTGCTTGAAAGGCCTCCTCCTGTCCATTCTCCTGCCTCCTTGGAATTACCCCAGACAGTGACCGGAGGTGGGTAGGACACCAAAGCACGGATTGGGTGGCTGGGGAAGTGCTGGGGTCGAGGTATGGGCATCTGTCTCACCTGGAAACCTTTCTGGATTTCCCACACTCACCTGCACTCATGCTTCATCCCAGGCATGTCTCTTGGCTTCTGTCCGGCCTCTCTTGCAGTCCTGCCTCTGTGTCCCAGCACCTTTACCCCTCCTGGGTTTGCTGTCTAGGGGGCAAGTCTGGCATTGGGATTGAACTATCCTTCTTAGTTCCATTTTATTCTCACAAGAGCTTCAAGAGGTGGGGTGGGTGGAGACGATCTACCATTTTATAGTTAGGTATATTCAAGCTCCAAGTTCACACAATAAGTTGGTGGCAGAACTGGGTCCAGTGATGATGGAGGGGGACAGGGCTGGGAGCCGTTTTCTAAATTAGGCTCAGGCTGGGCTTCCACCAGGGACTTGAGAAACCTGGCTCTGTTTGTCCTTCTCCAAGGAAGATGGGACAGAGGGGACCCCACTTTGTGAGATGGAATGGAGAGAATCTTAGCATCTTGTCCCTGGCCATAACTCTCCAGCCTTTGTGCAGTCTTGATGGTTGCCAGTAGGTGCCGTCAGTTTACAACTTTCTGGTCTGTCCCTACAGGTCTGGCTTCCAGCCTTTCTCTTCCTCCAATCACCCAGGCAGTCTGCACTTGCAGAAAGCAGGAGATGGCCCAACCCCTGTAAGGCTGAAAGACCACTGCCCTAGGAGAAGCAGGAAGGGGATCTCTAAACTGCATTTCAACTTGGTTGCCCTGAAGCTTTTTAGGCCAAGCCAAGTCAAGCCAAAAAAAAAAAAAAAAATCCAGTGGGTAACCGATTATGCCTGGACAGGCGCCCTTACTCTGAAACCGCCTCCAGGATAGCAGAAGCCTTTGTGGGGGACGATGGGTGAGTATTAGGGGGACCTGAGAAGGAACTGGGAACTGGGTCTTTGTTCCAAATGCTACTCTAGCGCACCTCTCAATCCTAGGATTGGGGCAAGGGTGGGGAACATTGGCACCAATAGAATCTCAGGGAGTGGCAAACCAGCCCTTACACTATCCCAGATAGCAACACTGGCTGAGTTAGAAAAAGGCACCCCTTCCTCAGAATCCTTGAGTGCCACCTGCTGGGAATCTGTCACAACAGCTATACAGATATACAATGACTACAAAGAATGGTGCCCCCTGGAGTTGTTCAACGCACAGCTTGCACATCACGAGGGGCAAACTCCCAGGCCAATCTCCCTCCAGGAGTGGACCTCGGCAGTGGAAGCAAACATCCCCCTCCGCGGGAGCTCAAGGATTCCGTCCTGGGGAAGGCAGGGTGGACTGGGGCCCAAATGAGCCCTGGAGAGATTGCGAGGGAGGGGGAAGTTGCAAGGGGTAAGTGGGAAGAGAGCCTATGAACGTCTCAGGGCCACCTCGTTGGTGGCCTGTACCCCTTGCCCACATCACCCGGTTTGGTTTCCAGCCGTTGAGACTGGAAGCACTGGGGTGGGGTGGAAAGGACTCTGGCTGAGGAGACTAAGTCCGCTAGGGGTCCGGCGTAGGAGGTCCCCTTCTCAGTGGTGGACAGAGGGTCTCCTTGGTGGGGCTGGGGGGGGATGGGAGGGCGCTTCCCGTCTCCCCGGCCTGCCCTCCCGGGCTCCGGTTCAGAAGCGCTCTGGGCGCCTGCCACGGCTTCCAAACTGCACCGCTTCCTTGTTCGGCAGAAAAGGACTTCCAGAGGCTCAGGACAGCGCCCCCTCCCCCTAACGGCCGCCTCTCCCGCTCCCCACCTCCGGGAAGGCGCTGGGGGTGTGGCCA